GGGCATCTGCGCTGTTGAGTCCTGCGCGCAGCCTGAGCTCGTTTCGCTAAGCTAGTTCAACCAGCTAGGGATTGACATTTTGCGCAAGCACACCGATGTAAGCCCTCCAAGTCTCATATTCCTCATCTGTTACAACCGGACTTGCGAAAATATTATCTGCCTCCCTTGAATTGCAGCGGAGCAGTAATTACTTGCAAATAATGCACCGTAACAGGGCCTGGCACAGTGGAAACAGTCATTTTGTGAGGACAGCACCACCCAATACGAAAGAATTTCTTAGTAGCACATTTTTAAAAACGTAAAGCCAAGGTGAAATTCATTTTCAATATATTTTCTTTGACTAGTATATATTAAAACATTCAGCGCCGGACGTCGGTGGTCGGCTCACGCGTAATCCCAGCACGTTTGGGAGGCCCGAGGCGGGCGATCACGAGGGGTCAGGAGATCGAGACCATCCTGGCTAACACGGAGAAACCTCGTCTCTACTAAAAAAAATAACAAAAAATTAGCCGGGCATGGTGGCGGGCGCCTGTAGTCCCAGCTACTCGGAGGGCTGAGGCAGGAGGATGGGCGTGAACCCGGGAGGCGGAGCTTGCAGTGAGCCGACGATCACACCACTGTACTCACCTGGGCGACAGAGCGTGACTCCATCTCAAAAAAAAAAAAAAAAAAATTAGCCGAGTGTGGTGGCGGGTGCCTGTAATCCCAGCTACTTGGGAGCAATGCAGGAGAATCCGCTTGAACCAGGAGGCAGAGGCCGGCTGTGAAGCCAAGATTGTGCCACTTCACTCCAACTTGGGGGACAGGAGCAAGGCTCCGTCTCCAAAAACAAAACAAACAAAACACAAAACCATATAACTATATATAATTTCAACATATCAACATAAAATAATTATTAATGTGTCTTCAAAATCTGGTGTTGTTACACTAACAGTACTTCGTCGGTCGGCCACTAGCCACGTCTTTAGCTGCTCATTGGCCATTTAGCACTATGTATTGACAGCGCAGGATTAGGGCTTATCGGTCTTAATCTTTTTTTTTTTTTTTTTTTTTTTTTTTTTTGAGATGGAGTTTCGCTTGTAGCCAGGCTGGAGTAAAATGGCGCAACTCAGCTCACTGCAACCTCTGCCTCCCGGGTTCAAGAGATTCTCCTGCCTTAGCCTCCCGAGTAGCTGGATTTTACAAAGCGCTCACCACCGTGCCCGGCTAATTTTTTGAATTTTTAGTAGAGATGGGTTTCACCATGTTGGCCAGGCTGGTCTCGAACTCCTAACCTCAAGGTCTCACTGGCCTCAGCTTCCAAAGTGCTGGGATTACAGGAGTGAGCCCCTGTGCCCGCCAATCTTAATCTTTTTAGCAGAGAATTGTACTTTAGAAAGAAAGGAATGTTGCACAGAAACTTGGATAGGACCTGCTCCCGAGTCCAGGCTCCACCTGTGCTGTTCTGTATCCCCATACAGATGAGGAATTGAGACTTGGAGGGCTTAAATGGCTGCTTCCAAGTCATCCAGCTGGTGAACTACTTAGCTGAAACGAGCTCAGGCTGCCAGACTCAACAGCAGATGCCCGTTTAGAAACTCCCCAGGTTGGCCGGGCGCGGTGGCTCAAGCCTGTAATCCCAGCACTTTGGGAGGCCGAGACGGGCGGATCACGAGGTCAGGAGATCGAGACCATCCTGGCTAACACGGTGAAACCCCGTCTCTACTAAAAAATACAAAAAACTAGCCGGGCGCGGTGGCGGGCGCCTGTAGTCCCAGCTACTCGGGAGGCTGAGGCAGGAGAATGGCGTGAACCCGGGAGGCAGAGCTTGCAGTGAGCTGAGATCCAGCCACTGCACTCCAGCCTGGGCGACAGAGCCAGACTCCGTCTCAAAAAAAAAAAAAAAAAGAAACTCCCCAGGCAGCAAAACAGGCTTTAGTACGCCCCCTTTCAAGTAAATCGGGCCCTGGCCCACATTTCCTGCCTCCCTCCAGCAATACTAACCCTATTCCCCCTGCCTGGCAGTCGCTTCCCTCTATTGGAAGGCCTTCCAGACTCCCGGATCCACCTCCTTTTCTAAGCCCCCACAACACAGAGGTAACACAGAGGTCTCACAGAGGCAGGCTAGAATCTGGACCCCGATTTGACGGCTTCCTTGCCGGGGGCTACACCCACCCAGAGAAGGAACCTCCCCGGCCTGGGTGGCCCGGCCCGGCAGCTCCGTTCCCCCGTCGCAACCCCCACTCCCGGCCGGTGGCGAGCAGGCAGCGGCGCTTCGCCGCCCTCAGCTTCTGCACCCTTCAGCCTGGCTCGCCGTCATGCCAGGAAAGACCTGATATCCCATCTCGCAGCCCCAGGGCTGTTGCTATTTCTGCGTGACGGAATTAAGCCAGTCTAAATTAGAAGGTGATATTTCATCTCTAATTGGCAAGTTCAAAAGGCCCCTATCGCACTCGGCGGGCTCGGGGATGTGTAATTAAACAAGGTGATTTCTGACTCACTCCGGGCCGGGCCTGGCTCTCCGCGAGAGCCTGGCCGCCGCCCGGCCCGCGGGCCAACGTGGCCGTCCCCGGCCCGCGCGCAGGGTCCCCGTGACGACGCCGCCGCCCGCCCCCTCCCGGGCCCCAGGTGTTCTGGGGAGCGGCCGCCCACCTCGGGCGCCAGCGATAAGATCCGGCCTGCGAACACCGCCCTCGGCCCGGAGGAGGCCCCGGGGGGGAGCTGCGGCGGCGGTCCGGGGCGCTCCGGGTCCCGCGCGGGCTCCCCGCCCTCTCCGACGCCCGGGTCCGAAGAGCCTGGAGGGCAGTGGAGCGGAGAGCGGCTTGGGCCCACAGGCCCCACTTCGTCCGGGGCGCCTGCCAGCCGCCCCCGGACTCCACTTGGCAGCGGGGCCTCCCGGAGAGGGAGGTGGAGGCCAGGCCGGCTCCAGCGCGCGCCCGCCCGGCCGCCTCCTTCCCCCCGCAGGCAGGAATGAGTTAACGTCTGCGCGGCCTGGGAACCGCGCGGGGGCCCGCGGCTCCGGCTCGTCTCGCTCTCCTGGGCCTCAGCCCAGGGAGGAGGAGGAAGGAGACGCAGGGCGGGCCGGCCGCGCGCCCCCGGAGCCCTGACGCCGCCTGGCGGGCTGGGCGAAGACAGCCGGCGGCCGCCCCGGAAGGTGCCAGAAGCGCCTCCTCGGAAAGAGACGGAAATGTCCTCCTTGCGCCCCGGCAAGGCCTCGCCTCCACCCGCCGCTTCTCCTCCAAACTCCTCTCCAGCCTCCCCTCCCTGTGTCCTCAGTCTCCGCAGGGGCAGCCGCTTCCCACCGCTCCATCTAAGGCTTGTCGCTCGCTACTGCAAAACGCCACCTCGCCCTGCGGAGTTTGCACCTCAGAACCGTCTATCCTTGCTCCTTCTCTAGGGACAGAGAAGGGCACCTCCCGTGTGACAGACGCTGTGCTGGGTGCTTCATTCCATTTCCAGAACACGAGGTGTCCATGAACATCACAGCCTGGAGGGATGAGGCGCTTTGCCTTCGACAGCAGAGCAGGCCCTGGCACCGGCCTCTGTCTGGGGCAAAAGCCGCTTCGACCACCCACACTCAACCCTGCTGTCAGCGAGCTTCATGAACCAAACCCCCGGAGCAAGGCCCGCCCTGACTCAGTGCCTGTCTCATTTCCCTGGGCTCCAGCAGCAGAGAAAACTTCCCTGGGGTCTCTCCCTGCACCTGGATAGGACCTGCTCCCGAGTCCAGGCTCCACCTCTGCTGTTCTGTATCCCCATGGCTTCGGCCAACTCTCGCACACTGGCATGAAACGGAGAAGAGGGAGTCTCATTCTGTCGCCCAGGCTGGAGTGCAATGGTGCGGTCTGGGCTCACTGCAACCTCGGCCCCCCGTGTAGCTGGGATTACAGGTGTGTGCCACCACGCCCGGCTAATTTTTGTATCTTTAGTAGAGTTGGGGTTTTGCCATGTTGGCCAGGCTGGTCTTGAACTCCCGACCTCAGGTGATCCGTCTGCCCTGACCTCCCAAAGTGCTGGGATTCCAAGTGTAAGCCACCAGGCCTGGTCCAGAGAAGACTTCTCTGTTCTCCTTTGCTCTCCCTTAGAATCATCCACTACTTTCTTGCTCACCTGTCTCCCCCAGGCCAGATGCAGGCTCCATAGGATTCTGACCCACAACTGGAGGATGGAGGGTGGAGCCTCAATAGCAAGACCTCGCTTCCCATTCTTCTGGGGATGTGACCCCAGAGCCATCTCTTGGCTCTTGCAACTCCTGGAACCCACCCATGGCTTTAGACAGCCTCCCCTCCTGCTCTGCCTCTTACCTGGCTGGTAGACAGAAGGCCGGATGCTGGCAGTGGTGACAACCCGGGGCTTGGGTGCAGGGGCGGCGGGGCCCTCACTGTAGCTGGTGTGAGTGGCAGGTGCTGAAGAGGCGGCCATTGCTGGGCTGTAGGAAGAGGCCTGGGGCCTGGAACCAAGAGGGGAAGGGTTACACCCAGAAGGACACCCCCACTGGGGCCTGCAGCCAAGGCAGGCTGACTCCCAGGTCTTCAGAAGCCTCTGTGAGGACACCTGACAGAGACATTTCTTGGGAGCTGCCAGAAACTGTGAAGGAAGGACCATAAGGGTCTCAGAGGGGAGGAGGGTGTTCCTTGGGTGGCTAGTGCCACTGCCTTTGGAGAGAGGGAGAAAAGCCACCAGCCAGACAGGAGGACACCGGGAAGACCCTTCACTGTCGTGGGGAGAGACTGCCCAGGTGGGACTGTGGAAGAGCGCAGAGGTAGGGGAGAGGAGAGAGATGGCGCTGGTCAGAACTACCTACCCCCATGACCTCGTGGGGCACCTCAGCCCCTGACCACCTGGCCTCTTCTGCCTACTCTTTTCTATTGTTGCTGGAAGGAGCAGCCAAGTCTCAGGTTTCTGGGCACAGATACTCCAGAGAGAGCTCAGGGGAAGTCAGGAGACACCCGCGCCGCTCCCCCAACCCCGTCTCTGCCACTCAAGGACCCCCTCCCCCCAGCAACACACACCTTTTCTGCATAGAGTTCCTGTTGTCCTCCTCTAACTGGGTTAGTTGTCAAGGGGCCTAGAATCACCTTTCCCCATGTGTGGCCCTGGGACAATGGGGTCAAAGAGATTTTTTAAAAAAGTGTCCTAGTTCATTACCCTCAGCAGAGTATGTGCTTGGCCTCTCCTCCCAGAGAGCTGAAGGCTCCGAGAACTTCTGGAATCCAGCCGCCTGTTGAGCCTTCTCTGATCAGCGTTCCCCAGTTGTATTTGTTTGTAAAACGCTTTTCTTCATTTAAAACTAATGAACACCTTGCAAAACACATCCCTGGTCTTTCAGATCTCAAAGGGGACCACATGCCCACACCCAGGGCAAATGGGTTATTGCTGGAGGTGCTGGAGAAGTGAGTCCTGCCTGCCACCCCCACCCACCGCCCCATGACTTCCTGCCTGCCTTCTGTCTGTTCCTCAAGGGCCCGGGCCCTGCTGGGCAGAGCTGTAGGATGAGGAGTGCCTTCCTCTCCGGGGCTCTGAGAAGGGGGTGGCCCTGGGATGAGAACCCACCACCAAGCTTCTGAGTGGATCCAGAGAGGTCTGAGGGGCTGTCCCAGACAAGGTGGAGATAAAATGAGCCTCAGGTAGCCAGCATCCCAGACCTGGAGGCTGTGCACACTTGCCCTGTCAAGCTGCCTAGTTTCTGGCTGAGTGAAGCCATTGTCTCCCCTCCCCAGGCCCACCTGCCCTTCTCTGGATAGATTTCTGTGCTGAGATCAGCAGAGTAGGGGTCTCCATGGAAGAGGAAGAGACAGTGTCCAAGGGTTGCCGGGCTTCCATAGGGATGGGGGTGGGCCAAGGGGCAGTGGTCTTAGCCGGACTCCATCAGTGGAGGACACTTTGCCCGCAGCCCAGGAGCTACAGGTCCTGAGTCAGGGACTGGCTCTGGGAAAGGGAGCAGAGGCTTATGGCATCCATTGAAAATTCTGAAGCCATGCTCCCATGAAAGGCTGGGGGTTCCATTTGCCTCCCATGGGCTCCCCCAGCTCCAGCGCCATCCCAGCCCATGTGTGAGGAGGGGAGGTAGGTTTGCTCAGAGTACAACCCCGTGACCCCTTCTACTCCAGCCCCACTCCCCGCTGGGCAGCCCTCTGTGCCCCTCTCCAAGCTCCACCCAAGCTCCACTCCTGGCAAGGCAAAGGGAAGGAAGGGAGGACTCCCCCTGTCGGGGGCGTCCCGAGGGCTCCAGGAGCTCAGCCGTCGGCACACCCAGGACACTGAGACCTGAGCCTGGTGCTGGTGCCTGCCTTTGAGCAGGGTTGGGGCCCCAGGGATGAGGCTGGACTGCCTGCAGGGCTCCAGCATCTATAGCCCCTCACCATTCAAATTGGGAGGCTTCTTCCCACTCTACAAGAGACATTTCTTGCCCTCCTCAAAATCTCTTCTTTGTGCAGGTAGCAAGGCCTTTATATGACGAGATTCTGGTATAAAGAGGGGAAGCAGTGTCCTAAATCCCCCAGAAAACTGGGATGAAACCATCCCTGGAGGGCCAGGCTCCTCCTTCAGGCTTCAGTTGGGCTGGGGAAAGGCTGGTCTTGGGCACCATGCAGTTAATGTGAAGCCTGGGATGGGGGCAGCAGACAGGCCTGCGAGCCAGTTTGCTCATATCAATCCCACCTCAGGCTGCACCATGGACCTACCCATTCTGATCCAAGAGGCATGTCCTCCCCAGCAAACCCTGGGGGCTGGGGTGGGAGACTGGGACACCTGGGCTCCGACCGCAAACACTAACTGCCCGACTCTTGGAAGCCCAGACAGAGCGGGCCCCATCCAGCCTGATGCGCCACATGGCCACTGCAGAGTGACCTGTCAGCCTGGCCCCTCTGCCTCCCCTCTTCTCCCCTGGCCTTTGGTCTCTGCCTTGTTGGGTGTCTAGGAAGGCAGATGCAGGAACTCACAATACTTGTGTCCTTTGTATGTATTAGGTGTTTTACAGACATTTTTTCTATCATAATCTTATATAATAGGTGTTTGGTAAACATCTTAACAGACGAGGAAACTGCAGTTCAGAGAGCTTCAGTCAATTTTTCAAGGTTACACATAGTAAACTGTGGAGCAGATATAAATCCCACTATACTGGGTGCCTCTGGCGTTAACATGCTTCTCTGAAGAGAGGGGAGGGGAAGTGGGAAGTTCATGGCTAAACTCTCTCTGACGAAATCTGACCTGCCTTCCCTGCCCAGCTCCAATGCTCCCTCCTCCATGGAGCCTTCCTTGATTTCTCCAGCCCACAGGGATGACTTTCATTCTACCTAATCTGAGTTCCAGGAACAAAGACTTTTCACACAGTCCCCTTTTGTTATCTAACACTGTGTGTATGAGTGTGTGTATATGTCTGTGAGAGAGACTGTTACCTCCCTCACTGGTGTATGTGTCCCTGGGGAGCAGAGTGACAGTCCCTGCTACAGTGGTGCACACCCCTGAAATTCACCCTCAGCTTCCCCTTCACACTCTGCACCAAGCAGCACTGGCCTTGGCTTCTTCCAGGCCTGTGGGCCCTAACTACCTTGGACACAGCTGGCCATAGGTGGACCCAGAGTGGGGCGTTTCCTGTCTCCCTTCCCCAGGGTCAGGCCCGGCACCTGTGGGCCAGTTACCTTGGGCTGTCGGCAGGACTTGAAGCAGGGGCTGTGGCGGCGGCAGAGGTGATGGCAGTGTGGGCAGCAGCTGTGGCCAGGGGTGGCGAAGCTGCACTGGGAGAGGCAGCAGCAGGCGGCTGGGCAGAAGCGGGCAGCAGCGGGGTGGTGGCCTGGCTGGTGCACACTGGCGCATGCTCAATAGGGGTGCTGATGAGGTGGGACCAAAAAGACAACAGGTCAAGGGAGCCTGGAGACCCCATGAGGCCCCTCTGCATGGGGGCAGGTGGGTGCAACAGAGGCAGGCTGGGCAGAAAGCGCCACCTGCCTTGCAAACAGAGTAGGATTCTCAGAGGGTATGTCTTCCAGCTCAGGGAAGGAGCTCCTCCAGGATCCCAGGAGCAGAGGCTCAGACCACAGAAGGGTCCCAATAACATCAAAAACTTTTTCAATCCTGGAGGCATTTCCCACCCCCACCTCTCAAATTTTTCTGTCCTTCCTAATTTTTCTTTTTCAGCAAAACAGTGTGGTAGAAAAGCCGATGGAATTACCCACCCAGGTTCCTCCCTGATCCTGTTTTCACCTTTCCCCATTCAGTCGAGGGCGTGTGCTACCTTGGGAAGGAATGTTACAGCAAAAAAAGCAGAGTGAAGATATTTGAGTGTCAAGGGCTTAGGCTCTGGAGTTGTGAGAACCTAGGCTTTGGGCTCTGAAGGACTCGGCACCAACAATACAGATGGCTGAAAGCTACCATGGCAGACAGAGCAAGGTTACCTGGACAAAAGTGGGCACTGTGGCAAGGGGATTCAAGAATAGAAGCCCCTGTGCTCCTTTTCAAGGTCAAACCTGGGGAAGTGGCAGGACCCCAGGGTTCCCCATGCCCATGGTGAGGGGCCAGACAGACCTGAAATAGCCCAAAGATTCCCATGCCTCTGTGTGGCCTGGGTGCCATAGAGAATTTACCATGCACCCAAGAGTGACAAGAACATGGTCCTGAGCACCTGCAGATCTGAAAGACCTTGTAACTGGGAAAGAGAAAGGCGATCACTCTGCAAGTGTGGACCAGATGGGTTGGGGATGTCTCAGCAGATGCCAGTGCAGGCAGAACCTGACAGAGGACCAGGTATGGCCCACACGCCCCCACCCTGAGTGCCTTGGCATTCTGTAAGCATCTCTTCCCTAGAACCACTCTAGAAAGACAAGAGCAGTCAGAGCTGGGTGGCTAACTGTAAAATGGGGTGGGCAGAGAATAAAAATTAAATTATAGGAAAGCAAAGAAATGCACATTCTTTACTCTTTGATTTGTATTTGCAACAACAGCAACTGGATAAATGCAGCTCCTGCGAGTGGGAATGACTCCCCCCATTTTATGCCGTTTGTTTATTGACCTCATGCTATGTGCCAGGCATGATGATGTCTTTCCTTCCTCACAGCAGCCCTCTGATGTGGGTATCATGGACTCTATTTAATAGATGAGGAAATGGTAACAAAGATAATTCAGTTGCTCAGAGTCCTACAACTTATCAGTAAGAATAGCAGGATCTGATTGAGGGATGTTGTGATTTGAATCCTTAACCGGTACCTCGTGGAGGAAGAAATAAACCTCTTGTTGTGTTGTGATCAGCCAAGTAGAATCTTTCCCCAATAAAAGGCACTATTCTTATTTGAAATAATTAGAATAACAATACTTTCCATTACTAAGTGGTGCCTGTAGTCCCAGCTACTCGGGAGGCTGAGGCGGGAGAACAGCGTGAACCTGGGAGGTGGAGCTTGCAGTGAGCCGAAATCACGCCACTGCATCCAGCCTGGGCAACAGAGCGAGACTCTGTCTCAAAAAAAAAAAAAAAAAATTAGCCGAGTGTCGTGGCGCATGCCTGTAATCCCAGCTACTGGGAAGGCTGAACCCTTGAACCCAGGAGGCAGAGGTTGCGGTGAGCCGAGATCGTGCCATTGAACTCCAGCCTGGGCAACGAGTGAAACTCCATCTCAAAAAAAAAAAAAAAAAGAAAAAAAGAAAAAAGAAATTACCCTATTACTCCATGTTATCATTTCAACCTCCCTGAGCCATTGGGATTGTGACCCTCACTTTGTAGATGAGAAATCTGAGGTCCAGAGAGATTGTGTCTCTAGTAAAACATCACAAAGCTGCAAAGTGGCAGAAAAGGGCTTGAGGCCTCACCACTATAACACTTTGCAAACTTCTGTGTGTGCTTGAAGCCCCTGGGGATCCTCTTAAAATGAATTCCTAGTTAAATAGGTCTGGGGCAGAGCTGACAGTCCATATTTCTTTTTTTTTTTTTTTTTTTTTTTTTAAACTGAGACGGAGTCCCACTCTTTCGCCCAGGCTGGAGTGCAATGTCACGATCTCGGCTCCCTGAAACCTCCACCTCCCAGATTCATATAATTCTCCTGTCTCAGTCTCCCAAGTAGCTGTGATTACAGGCATGCACCACCACGCCTGGCTAATTTTTGTATTTTTAGTAGAGATGGGGTTTCACCATGTTGGCCAGACTGGTCTTGAACTCCTGACCTCAGGTAATCCACCTGCTTCGGCCTCCCAAAGTGCTGAGATTATAGGCGTGAGCCACCGCACCCAGCCGAGAGTTCACTTTTCTAACAGGCTTCCAGGTGATGCTGATGCTGCTGGCCTGTGGGCCACACTTGGAGTAGCTGGCACTAAAGGGGTCTGCCCTAGATAGGAATGCAAGCGGGCCCTGAGCTATTTGCAAAAGCATCACTGAATTGCTTTCCTCCATCTGGTGAGGTGTATGGTAAAAAGAGCATGAAATATTGTGAGAGGGTCATGGAAGAATAGAGCTGGAGAAGTGGCAAGGTTGAGGTTGACTGCCCCCATGGGAGAGAGAGTGCCATCCTTCTCCATAACTGCATGGGAAGCTTTTGGGATGGGCAAGAGCAGTGGCTACATCTTGCCCAGGTCTTCCCTGACTTAATGCTCAGGGAGGCAGTCTCGGACAGCCCAGCTTGCAGGCCTGCAGTCGTGCCTGGCTCTGGCCCTTCCATGAGCCCGCTTGTGAAAGAACCTTGCTTCTGGAAGCCATGCCGGTGATGTGACTGCCTCAGAGAAGTAGATGCAGTCTCTGAAGCCACACCATTGAGCTGGCTGCTCAGACCCTCCTGTCAGTGTGGGCAGGTATGGCCTGGGATGGCTCAGGCTGACACAGAACACTGATCTCCTTGATCTGCTCTCCATGGCCCTACACCACACTTCCAGTAGGCTGCTGGGAAATGAGGACACTGCACAGGACCAGGGCAATGACAGTGTCCAGGCTGGGGACAGTATTCTGCAGAATGAATAGGAAGTTGGCTTTGCCTGTCTCCTTGGCTCCAATTCACTGTTAGGCCAGCTTACCTGCCGATCTCCCCAGCCAGAGCTCCAAATAAACCCTGGATTCCAGGGCATGAAGTTGGAGCTGGATGTGGGCCCTAGGAAAATTCATCATTGACCGCAGTACCAGGACAGTGATCACCACCAGGTATACCTGGGTATGCACGTAAGGGAGCCTGCTGCTTGGGGTTCTTGCTGAGTGGCATCCTCTCTGGCACCACTGTCTAAAGATACCAAGAAGCCAGGGCCTAGGGAAGGCAGAGGAGGCATTAGAGGGTGTCTTCAAGGATCTTGGGCTCTTATTCCATGTCAGTTCCTGCCTGAAGTTCCACAAGCCCCCAGAAGCATCCTGAAGGGCACATCATAGAGCAAGCACTGTGGAGAACTTACTTGGCCCTGGCTTCATTCCTAAAGACAGTGCTGGTGAGATCACCCCAGCCTGATCTAAGATCTACAGTTGCCTCCTGCCTTGGTCATAATTCAGTTTAAACATCTAAGCAAAAACCAAACTAGACCCAAATGCTCATGGCTCCTTGAGGGGACGGCGAGGCCAGGAGAAACACAGCCTGGCTATCGTCCCCTTTTCAGCTTATCTCTTCCCTCAGTCTGGTCAGCATCAAGGTGGAGCATGTTGACTGTGTGCCCCTGCTCTTCCATGGTGGCTCTTGGTGGTGGGAATGGTGGGGTTTGGTTGATGCTGTTATTGATAACTATGATACTATGTCTGGAAAGGATGGGGATGGTGGTGGTGGTGATGCTGGGTCTTGGGGTTGTTGTCACTGGGCTTGGGTCAGAACTGTTGGTGATGGCGGGGGCCTTGTGATTGATATTGACAGTGCTAAAGGGGTGGTTGCCACTATGGGGGTGATGATGCTACTTGTGTTGGATAAGATGGTGAAGCATGAAAATCTCTGTTGATTGGGTTGATGATAGAATACCAGTCAGATGGTTGATCTTGAAATTATTCATGCTGCCACCTACCTAGTCTACATTCCACCTTGCTGCCTGGTGACTATGGCTCAGGGGAACCCTGAGCTGCATCACTTTGCCCCAGGAATGCTCCACTGCAACTCCAGGGCCCACGCTGCCATTGTGGTCTAGGTGAAGAACACCTCATCAGCTATAGTGTGAAAGGTGCCCTGCAGCCTTTGCTAGTTCCACTTTGCCTTCAGAATGCATTCCAAATCCCATGGCCTGGGAGTCTAGATGCAGACCACTGCTAACCATGACATCCTCTGCATTCTCTCCATTCCAACCAAAATGATTAACTTGGGGTTTTGGGACACCACTTCTCATCAGCATCTCTGCTTGCTCTGCTTAGAGTATCTGTCTAGGCTTTTGTATCTACTTCCACCCTAATTCTAACCATTCCTGAAGATAAAATACACTGACCTCTTCTTCCAGGAAGCCTTCTTTGATCCATCACTTGGAGGGATGCTCCCTGTCTCTGGACCATACATGATCATCCTTGCATTGGGAACACAGTTATATTGGCCCTTTCTGATTCCTTGAGCACTCACAGTAGTCAAGCATCTCCACAAATGCCCACAGACACTGGATGCTGAATGAAGACATCTTTCCTGCTTATACCGAGAGGTTTACACGGAACCCAGCCTGGGGTCCCCCAGGGCACTATGTGAAGGGGTCTGGGGTAGGTGGGAAGGCAGGGCTTCAATTAGGTGGCTCCAAGAGGGCTCCTACAGGCTGGGGTCTGGGAGCAGGGGTCCAAGAGCCCACCAACTCTTAGTGGTTGGCTGAGGTCCTTTGCCAGCCTCAGGATACCCACTGCCCAGGACCTCTTTGTATCTGGCAGACCCCTGCCACCAACCCATCCTTGGGCCTTGCAAGTTCTCTATAAAACATC